GCATGTGCTCGCCACTGTCACCACCAGATTAGCAAGCAGGCTTTAAGCCCTGCTCACAAAGACACTGTGTACAGAACATAAACTGTGCTAATACTGCTCGTTTCCATTTGATCCCTATGAATCTTCCTCCCCAGAGTCGGCCTAAATAATTTCCCAGCTGGCTTTAAAGAGGTCAAATGCAATTTTTCCAGAGAGTACAGGACATGAACACAACAGTTTGAACTTCCCTATTACCGTCTGATGAAACATATTGTCTTGCAGAAGTGTTCGTACCTTCTGAACCTTTTCCCATTTTGTTGCAAACTTCACTGTGATCCAATTTGGTCTATGTCATAATCCAATAGAAGGTGGTTAATGTTATAATAAAAAAAAGGTTTTCAAGATGTTTTACTCATACGTATCTTTACAATTTCGGTTCTTTTGCATTCAGCCTTGTTTTCAGATAATCTTACATATGGCCCAGAGGTAGAACCACTTCATCTTTATGCAAAACTCAAGTCTTTGTCATTAAGTCGCCAGTCAAATCTCAACTAATGGGAGTCAACTCATAGTCGACTTTTAAGTCAAGACATGAACTCAAGTCAAGTCCCAACTCTGAAACTTTAAATTTCCAAGTCCTTTCAATGATAAAAAAAAAAAAGTAATTATATATCAAATGTAAAAAAAAAAAAAAAAAACGTGAATATGTGTTGTTTTTAAATCTGTATTTATCACAACCAGTGCAACTTTAATTTGATAATGAATGAAGCTAGCTAAAGTCGGCTATTTCATCCCAGCAAACAAAATTACCTGCTGTTCATTCTTCATCTTCAGTTCAGATTAAGTTGCAAATTGTTTCATCTCTATCTGCGATTCTCTTGTTGCATATTTTGCATACTGCATTTTGTTTTGTGTCGAGTACTTTAAAGTTTATATACACAGAGACATCATCAAAATTATATTTTTTTAACTGGCAGTGCTGGAGCTCAAGCAAAAATACGTACAGAGTGTGGAAAGACAGAGAGATGGAGCTTACTTATTAATATGACATCAGTAACATTAATTAATGATGCTCACTTTAAAAAAAAATCATTTTGGGTCAAATAAAATTGAAAAAAAGTACATCAACCTGAAAATATCATCTTAATTGCTAAGCAGGGTGGTGGCAGCATGATGCTTTTCCTTGTCAAAAATGGGAAAGTTGATCAGAGCTGATGGAAGGCTGGATGGAGCTTAATACAAGGAAGTTTTGGAAGAAAACCAGAAGCTGGAATTAACTTTATGTGGAAGGATGTTAAGCGTTCATCAGGGCAACAATCCTCAGGATACAGAGTCAACTACAGAAGAAGGTTAACCTCTTACACCCTAAGGGGGTATAAATAAATTTCTGCCTGACAAAAACACACAAAAGTAAATAACTTATAGCTTCAAAGCTATTAGATTTAAGAAGAAACTTTTGGTACGTCTGTAAAGGTAAGATGTCATAGAATGGTTTTCTGGTGTCAGCACCATTGTAGCTTTGACCCTGCCTGAAATATTAGGGACAAAATACAAAATATTTTGCATTTTTTGAACCTCGCCAAAATTTTCTTTAAAATAAACATTGCAAAACACTACCAAAATATTATTTATAGCACAAAAAAGTAGTACAGACTTTCAAATCTAAATGTTGTGTAAAAATATACCAAATTTGGACTCAATCAGATGAATCATATCTATTTTAGAATGGTATTAGTGAGAAATTTCTTAGGCGGAGAGGCCATTTTGGCACATTTATCCATAAATGTCACCAAACTGTGCCAAATATGTTTTTTACATCAATACTGGGGGTTTGGTAAAATTACGAGGTCATGTAGCAGCTGGACCCACCAGTGGGTCCGTAGGGTTCAAGGGGTTTTAATGATCATGACATAATTGTCCATAATTGCCATTAAAAATCCTATCTTAAATTCTATTATTGATTTCAGGCAGGACTTAAAAACTAATGTCTGCAGATGCTTCCTATCCAGTTTGATTGGTCTTGAGTTGTTGGGCTAAAATCTAGGCATCCAAATTTAGAGAGCTGGAAGGGACATGCCCCAAAAGACTAGCAGCTGTGATCAGAGATATGCGATTCTAGAAATTATTGACTCAGGGGGTTTGAATGCAAATGTACACCACATATCAGATTTATATATTTTTTTTAAAGAAAGAAAAGGAAATTCAAATGATTATTTCTTTGCAGTTGGGCTTTATGTTAGTCAATCATTTAAAATGCTGCAGCCAGAATTCTAAAGAAAATTAAAAAGAGAGATCACATCTCTCCTATCCTGGCTTCTCTTCATTGGCTTCCTTTTAAATCCAGAATAGAATTTAAAATCCTCCTTCTCACATATAAAGCCTTAAATGACCAAGCTCCATCTTATATCAGAGATATGAGTGTTTCTTATGTCCCTAACAGAGCACTTTGCTCTTAATCTGCAGCTTTACTTGTGGTTCCTAGAATTTCTAAAAGTAGAATGGGCGGCAGATCTTTCAGTTTTAAGGCTTCTTTCCTGTGGAACCAACTACCAGTTTCAGTCTGTGAGGCAGACACCCTGTCTACTTTAAAGGGTAGGCCTAAAACTTTCCTTTTTGATAAAGCTTATAGTCAGCTTAGGTTATCCTGAGCTATCTCTATAGTTATGCTGCTATAGGCTTAGACCTCAGGAGGAAATAGGGACACTTTTTTCATGACTCCGCTTCATTTTATCTCTATTCTCACACTCTGCAGAATCTGTTAGTTCAATCTGTAACATTATGCTCTCTCTGCTTTTCCTCATAGTAGCTTCGCCTTGTCTGTTACTGTTTGGCTGTGACACCATCCTGAATAGAAATATCAGCTGTGCTTCTGCCATCAACACCTTTGTTTATAGATGTTGGAGATCGACCTGTTTTTCAGTGTAGTCCTGTTTCTCTGACTGTGACTGGCAGGATGTGCTCTCTTCATCCTCTGACATGGGAGCTGGCTCGGAGTTGGTCTGCCTGGCTGTGTGTTTCCTGGACAGGGCCATCTTTTACAGTTGCCTTTTGTATCTCTGCTTCTGTCTCTTTGAACTCCAGTCGGCCTCTGCAGATGGCCGCTCACACTGAGCCTGGTTCTGCTGGAGGTTTCTTACTGTTTAAAGGGAGTTTTTCCTCTCCACTGTCACTACAAGCATGCTTAGTGTGTAGGATTGCCTTCGAGTCAATTAGTCAATGCAATCAACTGGTTTTCCTTAGATAGAAAACTTAGTATCAATTTGACTGTATGACCTGGTAAATTGTAAAGTGCCTTGAGATGACGTGTTGTGAATTGGCCCTATGTAAATAAACTGAATTGAAAATAAACAAACAGAATACAAATAAAGACTGGTTTTAAGATGGCTAAATAAAAATAAAAGACTTGTGTTTCTGAAAGGCGTTATATGTTCATTTTGCAATACAAAGAGACTACTCTCTTCTAAAAACGAAAATTTGAGATTTTTTTAGTGGTTGAATGACTCTGATCACAATCAGGCTCCTTGTGTTTTGTAATATCTGTAGCAACAGGCTAAATATCCTTTCTGTCGCTGTTGCGAAACTGCAGCTCCGGAACTGTTTTAGCCATCTTATTTTAAAAGGTTCAAGTATTTAATCTTTACCACCTTTAACATTGCTAGGACACCTTGATGCTTTAGCCAGCCAGACTCAGAAGTGTCAGCTGTGCGAAGGCAAATAAATTATTTACACCACCTCCCTTAGACTTCAAAGAGCTGACAATACGCTCAACCCCACATTTCGGTACGGGGGTTGGAGGAGGAGCTCCCAGTCACTAGGCAACATCTATGTCATCTGCCCCAACATGCAACAATCAGTTGTTTATTTAACTGCCAAGGCTCAAGAACCTTAAATATTACTGAGAAATAACTGGGTTTACAGTGGAGTCAAAAAGTAATAAGCACCTTAGACCTTCACAGTTAGGAAATGCAATCAAAAAACTGAATCAAAAGAAAGAAAATTAAAGAGAAATATTAGCTATCCAAAATACCCAGTAAAAAAGTAACTGTCTTCATGTTATATCATCAATTTTCTTTGATAAAACACATTTTTTGTAATATTTTTTAAAACTTGACCTAATTGGTGTCTGACCAAAAGATTTGAACAATTCTAAAACCTGTCTAGCAGCAAGAAGTTGTCTGCAATATCAGAAAAAGAAACACAGCCTGTCCTGATGTGAATAAAATGAAGAAAACAGGAGAAAAAAAGTCCTTCTTTTTAGAAGTAAATATTCCTTTGCATGAGTGTTCTACCAAAACTATTTAAATAAATAACCATCGACTCATCTGGGAGGTCTAAGAAGAACAAAAACGCCAAAAACCTAGTTTTAGATAACTCTGGGTCTAATTTTCTTTATCTAAGCTCAATGTTCGTGGTTGAACACTATCTAACACAGGGTGCTTAAATCTAAGCCTCTAGAGCTACCATCCTGTAACCTTTAGATGCATCTCTTCTCTAACACCCCTGAATCTAAAGGCTCAATCCCCTCATTTAGCTCAGCAGAGGTTCAGTTCTAGCACAACTCACTATAAATAATGGAAAAAAATGTTTGTTCATCAACTTATGACTTAAAGCTCAGAAGCGAGTTGATCAATGATCTTAAGCACACTCAATTAAAAAAGGGTGTTCACATGCAGAAACTTGGGCTGGATGGGATTTTATCATTTTTTTTAATCCCTAAATAACTAAAGTAATACTTGTAAACAGTATTTTGATATATTCTGCTCATCTTTTTGGTGCAAATTGCAAGATGATTTGAACTATTTTAGTGTTACAAAAAAGAAAAATCTGTAAGTGTACAAACATGTTTTTGTTGCACTGCACATCTTGAGATGATAAGATACAGAGCCTTCATGTGAGATAATGGATTAAAAACAGATCACTGCATCATTTTCAGGGAAGAAAAGGCAAGACCCCAACAATCTGAGCAAATGTCAAGGAGACACACAAGGTGACTGTTCAGCTAGAAAATCAGGAAGTACGGCTTGAGCAACATGTCCACTCTATGAACCCTGCCTGTCCAGAGGGAGCTGCTGTTTATTTACCCCCTGCCAACTCAAACACGCAGACAAGGTTAATGAAAAGATCTTTAAACAGAGAAAAAAAAAGACCTCTTAGCTTCCATGGTAAAGTAGGGAAGATCGAACACGTGCTGTGGTCACCTTTTTTATCTTAATAACAAAGCATAATTTCTCTTTGATATAGCTCAAATTTCCTTTGTATTTACCCCTTTAAAGTAATTCTCCGATTGGTGTTGGGGAAATATAATGAAAGCGGTTGCTAAGTTTAATCACACTGACTGTTAAGAAATCAATTTACACAATCTAAATGCTCTTTCATCCCTCATTTAGAGGTGTATTGAAGTAAGCCTATCTCTAACACCTCAGGTAAAAGGAGGGATCTCAGTGAGCTGAGATGTGACATAAATCTTTTCTCTTCTCTCCTGGATACACACTGATACTGAGGTGTCCCTGTTAGCCTGTTTGATCAGGTTGTGCCCAGATTCAGTGTGTGTGTGGACATGTGGGAGACCTGGCCATGCGTGACAACAGTAAATGACCACCTATCCGTCATTGGCGCCAGGGCTGGAGATTAACGTGAGCTCAGGCTTGGCACCAGCTGGACCACAGCCTGGAAAAGAGAAAAACTGAGCAGTACTTGATACAGAGCTACAGAAACTGCTCAGTTGTTGAGGTTGAGAGAAAGATTGATGTTAAACTGCATTGTGAAGACGTTCAGAGAAGTACTTTGTCTGGAGTCCTAGAGATTTTGTGGGAAAAACCCAGAGAAAAAAAAATCCCCAGGTAGCAGAGATGAAAAAAAAAACCCTCCAGCTAATTTCTAATAAGCTCTTACATTTTCTCTCCTCTCCCTTTCTTATTGTACGTCTTTCTTTCATTGAGTATTTCTGTAAGTATGTGGCTTTTGGGTTTCTGACTTAAACAGAGACATCAGCAAGCAACCACAGGAAGAAACGCTGATGTATGGAGCAGTTACTGTGGGTGGGTTGAAAAAGAAAGATACAAGTAACTGTATGCGTCCCACCCTGCTTAGCCTGCGTCTAGACTGGCCTCGGTGAAGCAAGTAGCAGTCATAACAAGGGATTGGGAAAGCAAACAGGGTTGTTCAACGTAGTTAACAGTTTTTGCCCATGGAGTTACAACCAAGATACAAAAGCTCAGCATTTAATTGGGGCAAAACAAAGAGCTCAAGAATAACATACAATTATGAGATACACAAGGAGCCAGAGTATTACGTGTGCCAGCAAACCAAAGGACAATCTCACCAGATTGGCACTGGGTAAAGAGCTTGCAACTGTCAGTGAGCAATGTGCCAAGACTGTTGGCCTACTTATGAGCCATTCTCTTGTCAATGTCTGACTAAAGAAAGAAACATATTCATTTTACTTAAATCAAACCCTCCACTTAGTCAAACACATCTCACTGTCTGTCATCAGCGATACCACTTTTCAAACCGAGCCCTCCAGCTATCAGCACAAGTGGATAATTGAGCCAAGGGGTTTGCTTTAACAGGCGAGTTGAGTTTAAAAAATTGAGCAATCAGCGAACACTATTTTTACAAAGCTGCTCTCATTTCCCCTCTTGTTACTCACGACGCCGCTAAAGATGCCTCTGTTGACAGTGTGGAAAAAGCTAACCATGCTGATGACATTCCCAACATGACCTCAATCAAGCATTTTCACAGCCTGGAGTCACAAAACCATTCCAGCAGCTCCGCTACTACACAAAGTCTCTTTAACCTCATTTTACAATGAATGCAATTATACCAGAATGGTTGTGTCTGAGATTGCAATTGGACAGCAGGCTTATTGGCTGCTGCTTTAAAACAGTGAAAACTTTGTGTTCACCTACATCTTAGAGCCAATAGTTACGACTCTTTTAACTATTTGTTTTGAGTAGGCTAGAGCTGTTTGCAATACCATTTTCAATAATAAATATCTTCTTCTTTTCCGTTGCTGAAACTCTTAACAAAACAAATTTTCTTTTATCGCATCACCTACTTTATGATGCCATCAGCAGAGTTACTGTTCAAGTAAAGGTAAATCCAATCTGGGTATAATTGCCCAACATGTCCAGTGAGAAATTCAACTCAGATACATCTTCATTCTTGCTAAATATAGAGGAAAAATAATTACCAACTCCTCACAATATAACTCCTCAAGGTTATATTCAGTGGCAAATATTGCATTTTTTTTAACCTGATATTCCATTAGATGAAGGTAAATCTGTTAGCAGCATCACAACAGTGCTGTCCTTCCACTTTGATATATAAAATGAATGCTCCACATTTTTCAAAGCCCTTGACAATTAGACTGGCTGCCTTTCAACATTTCAGGATGGTAAGGGAGGTATAAAGTGAAAGAAAAACACCACATAAAACAAAGCCTACTCTTGAAAACTTTAGCTGCAGTTTTTCACCAAGTCTAACAACCACTGGAGGCCATCTACAAAAGGTCACTTGGGAAGCTTGCCAGAAAAACAGAAGCCCTTCTATCTTATCAAAACAAATGTAAATGCCTGGAATTTGCTAAAATATATCAGGACATGTGCTGGAACTGTTTGCTTTTTCCAATTGCGATAAGATTAAGCTTTTAAAGCAACAAAACATTCTGTTAGGTTTTGCTTAACAGGACAACAAAATCTGAAGAAGTACCTTGTGACCACTGGAAAGTGCATTGCAAGATCTTTGTTGTTGGCCCATTTCCCTTTCAAAAGCCCTATAACCTTTAGTGCGTATGAATTTATTATCCTTTGACATATAAGACAATACAAAATTATATACTTTGGCCATAAAAGGAATCCAAGTCCTTAGCTGAAATTATAGAACAAAAATGTAAAAAAAACATGACCGAAATAGATTTACTACAGACATCAGCCTCCCTCTTAATTTTCCAGTCTTGAATTATAGAAAATTGTTTTGGTTGAGCTGAAAAAGCTCAAGATAATAACAGCGAACCGTCTACATTCTAGAACTGTAGTTTTGAAACAGTAGTACCGCTGCTAATAACTGGCCACTTAGGCTCACTCATTGCAAAGAAACAAAACAACCCAACATTGGCTCTTAGCATTATGAGCCAAATGATTGCCTTTTTTTAAAGAATCGCACCAGAAAGCAAAATTAACAATGTATAATGTGGAGTCAAATAGCAGCAGCAGGCAAAAAGACAAGTAGTTCAAGTGCACCAATCCTTCAAGGAGTGTAGAGAAACTAGTGCTTGTGGCAAGTACTCCATTTTCACTTAAGAGTTGGACTTGGGAAAGACTAAATTCAATTTGGAGATATTGTAATTTAGGTTCACATTTAATTTTTTAACCACCATCAACTGTAAACATATTTTTGTTGTGGCTGTCACCAAGTTACATGCAAAGTGGATCTGGTAGATTTTGAGGCCAAGACAAGTGAGAAATCTCAAACTCCCATACTCCCCTTGATTTTTGCTGTCTGAGGGAAGAGTTATGTAATGAATTAAAATGCAGGCCACACTTCTATCCAGGCCATTTTTATTGATCGTCAAAAACCCCCTTCACAAAAACCACCCCCCCAAAACAAAAAGAAAAAAAAAAAGTATTGGAACAATATAAACAACCAATAAATAAAAATCTGCATGATTAAGGCGGTTCTACATCTCCAATAGAACACAAATAGTGTGGACATGTTGGAGTTATACAGCTTCATACAGTACAAGCAGTAGATTTTGTTTTGAGAACATTACATCTTTAAAAGGCCACACTTTACCAAACATTAACCAGTTTTCTTGAAAGTGTGCATTCTAATGAACCACTTTATCACTTCTGTGATTAAACAGAAAATGAGCATTGCTTTGTTTAATGAGCTAATTTCAAGATTAAGCCAAACAGAACAGGAAAAGTTCAGGGGCAGAGATCCAAAATCTTCATATTCCTCCACAAACATGTTTTCAAGAAAAGATCATAAAAACCACTTGGATCCCAAAACAGCGAAGGCGACTCTTCTATTTATCAGTTTTCTCAGATAGGAATAAATAAATACACCTTTTTTTTTTTTTTACTGGTAAACTGTCACAGAGTCCAGACTTAGAGGCTACATAGTGTCATAGTATTGTTCAGTGGCTTTAAGGATTTCTTTGTTACATTCATGTCCAGGATGAGAAACCATCTCCAACCACAACCTAAACACAAGCTGTGGATATCCAGAATCCTCTCCTGCACACCCAGCTCCACAACTTTAGTTTAGTTGTACAGTTCTTTGCTCATAAAATCATAACCAAACAAACTGCCTCTTTCCATTCTTCCTGGACAATGCTAACTCCTCCTCCTCCAAGTGTGGCCATTGCAAACAAAGATCCTTTCAGCAGCTGACAGTGCTTGGTTGCTGCTTGCTCACAAAGTCTGAGATAAAATCAAACTCATTCTGGCCCAGGTAGAGTTCTGGTAGCTCCTGGACCCGGTCCAAGCCCAGTTCCATAACCAGTGATGTCAGGACGTCCTCGTCAATCATGTCCGCGTCCATTCCGTTCAGGGCTAACGCGGGCCCAGCCATGTGCTGCATGCTAGCCAGTTGAGCTGGGTTCATGCGGTACTGGTTTGTAGGCCCCATGTGGTTCCCACCCATAGGTCCCAGTGGGTGTCCATGGTACTGGGTGTTTAGCTTCTGCAGCTGCATGCTGGCCATGAGCTGCTGAGACGTTAACCCTCCATTCATGAACTGTTGTTGCTGCTGCTGCTGCTGATGTGGCGCCTGCTGTTGATGCTGATGCTGCTGTGAATGCATATGATGCTGCTGTTGCTGCTGAGGGTGGTGATGCTGCTGCTGTTGCTGCTGAGGCTGTCCATTGTACATCATGTTACCAGAGGTCATCTGGTGATGACCTATCTGGGCCCCGTTGAGCTGTCCGTTCATGGGCCCGCCCACCATGCTCTGCCGTTGCCTCATGGCAGCCTCCATGCTGGCCTGGTTGCCTCCATAGTGCATCATCTGGCCATTGGGAAGCGCCCTCATACCCTGCTGGTTGGCGTGCTGTTGGTGACCTGCCTGCAGGCCGCCATTCATGCCCATCCTGTAACCGTGGAGACCAGTGCCTGCTGAGCTGTGATTCATGGGCATCATCATATGATCTGCCATGCCTCCTGCGTATGGACATAAAACAGTGTCATTTAGGAACAGGAAAACTGTCTCATAACAGGTTTAGGACTTAGATGTGATGCCATCTAGTGAACATAAACAATGTTGCAAGACTGGATGTTTTAATCTTATGTGAGACTAAGGAAAAAAAAGGAAAACTCCTTCAGAAATTAATTTAGTGCGTTTCCTTTAATAGGGGACATCATAGCGGAACAAAACATGTGCTTGGATATTTGCCTGGTTACGGAGGCGCACAGAAAAACCCTGGTGGTGCGCTTGATTCTCAAAAAAAAAAAAAAAAAAAAACGCTTTCCCCCTTTGTGCCAAAGCAAATAACGCCCAGGTTTAAAATTACAGGTTAACATAGGCTGGGCGCGTTTTCAAATGGAGGAAAATCCTAAACCTTAAACACCGCTTCTTAAATCCCACCTATATGCACGCCAGCTGGTGGTGATGGTGGTGGTGGGGGGGGGATCTGTTAGATTTTCCCGCACGTAAGGTTGCAACAAAGAACACTGACATCATGCAACACATCTAACAGCTGAATCACCACAAAACCAAACGAGGCGTGCAATAACAGTTAAAATAGTGCTTATATTTCCCTGGGATATTATTGTTTATTTATCCCATTTCCCACGCACTAAATCTGTTTCAATGTTTTTTTATTCAAAATAAAGAGTCTATATTTCCGTTTTGTTATAAGCGACTTTGAAACAAGGGAATACAAACAATGGAACACGAGTCCCTGAAACCATCAAAGAGCGAAATCAAAAATCCACATTTCCTCACAACAAATGAACAGATTCTTAAAAAATAAAATAAACATGTATCGCTCACCAGTGTCCGCTGCGTTTTCTCAAAGTTGCGCGACTTGAGTTTCCCTGTGCGAGGCGAAGCTCCTCCGGATTACAGGACGGTTTCCTCGGGGTTACACTTCATGCTCAAAGTAGGGAACGGTGCGCACAAAAGACTAGCGCATCAGATCTTGAAACGACTGCCTATTTTCTGGGTCAACTCAGGGATTATGTACATCTAAAAAGCTCAGAGGAAGGCAAGTCAGAGGGGAGGTGGAGCCTCGGCGCTGTCGCTTCTTTGTTCCTATTGGCCCTACTTGATATAATTGTGCATGGGCGTAGAGAGAAAAAAGGGGCCGTTGGAGAGTTAAGGAAACATTGGTTAATTTAAATACCCTCCACCTCACTCTTTCCCTTTAGAAGATAGATAGATAGATAGATAGATAGATAGATAGATAGATAGATAGATAGATAGATAGATAGATAGATAGATAGATAGATAGATAGATAGACTTAGATTTATTTTGTCAATTTGTATACACAAATGTAAACAAAAAGAAATTTCTTTGAAAAAAGCTCTAGACAATTTCATTTTTTAAAGTGGGACCTTGAAAAACATTAATAACTACATAAAAAATAGTAAAATAAATATATGACTGTATATTTACAGCTCTAACATAATTTTTTAAATATATAAATAAAATAACCCATTTTACACAACATTTAGCAGTCTAATGGCAGTGGGGAAGAGACTGTTATGGAATCTGCCGGACCTGCATAAAAAATATATATATATATATAAATTTATATTACCATTGAATTTCCAGACATAACTCAAAACAAAGCTAAAGAAGTATTTTGGAAAGGGTTTCAAAATAGTTTTTAAGACTTGACGAACCATATTTGGAGTCATTACCCACAACTGGAGAAAACAAGAGGAACAGTAGTGAAGCTTCCCAGGATTGGTCATGTTACAAAAAAAAAAAAAATGACACAGAGAGTAACTTACTCATCAACCTTGATGATTAAAGGCCTTTTTTACACTGGTTAGAATGCAACATGTTGATCTGAATGATGATGTGGAATTGATGCAACAATTCCGCAACATTTCGAAGGGTTTCATGAAGTTCTTAATAGTCTTGTCCCTCTGCTCTTGTATGTTCAGTACACAGCTAGGGGCTTAAGGTGCACAAACCAGCTCTGGTTAAAAGTTCTTAGTTAGGTCCAAACACTGGAGTGAACAGGCGTTCTCAGTCACCGGACCCAATGGCTGTATAACAAACAAATTGCCTCCTGACATCACACCACTCCTGACCTTTTTAAGTACATGCCTAAAAACTAATAATTCAGGTGTCTTTTAATATTCAGCAATACAGTTTCATATTTTTTATAATCTTTTTGTGGCTGCAAAAAGCAGAATTTCCCCATTGTGGGACAATACATTTGTTTGTTGTTTTTCTCATTCTGCTTACACAATGTTCACTTTATGTACAGCACTTTGGTCACCTTGTGTGTTGTGAAGGGCTGTGGGTTTAGTTTAATATCAGGGGCTGCTTTGCTGTGAGCAGACATTTGCCATTAAAAGAATTAGCATGAATTTAATTCTCTAGCAGATATTTCTTAAGAATTTTTTCTAGATAGATAGATAGATAGATAGATAGATAGATAGATAGATAGATAGATAGATAGATAGATAGATAGATAGATAGATAGATAGATAGCTTAACCTCCTTATTACACGTGTTTTTGTTGTGAGCGTGTTACCCTCGTGTGTGTATTCACACTCCATCTCTAAGATCCATGAGATTCCTGTTAGTACATGTGACCCAGCAGTCTGCTGGCTGGCTGCAGAGGGAGGGCAGAGGAATGTAGCCTCTGTGCTATTCTAAGCCACTCAAGCTGCAAGCTGCAGTGTAACCACAGCCACTCCTGGATGTTCATTTGCCTCAATCATGCATTTTACATGGCTCTGGATGCATACATGTGTTTTTCGGCATGTCTTAGCATGTGTGTGCATGTGTAAATTTTGGTCTGTCTACACGTCAATATCTCACATGCACTCATGTCTTTATTGCTCACTTCAGGACAATGACCCCTCTCCTGTTGTTGCAAATGAATAAAAGCACTTTTGGTTTAAGCAAGCCAGTCCATTGTCAGGGTAATTTGTCCATAAACGAGCAGCCACAGGCAGAGGTTTGTCATTGGGTGACATTGTCTATGTTGTAAGCCACTCCCAGGTGTGGAGACGCTTCTGAGAAAATCACCCAACCAGGTAGTGCAAACAAAAACACATTGAAATGAATCAAAGTTTTTGGTTTGCTTGATTAAAAATTCTTTGAGTCAAGAATAGCATCAAAAAGTTATTTCATTTAAATGAGTCAATTTATTGCATCAGTTTTGGTAAGAAGTGATGATTCATCCAACTCAGGACATGAGAATGAAACAAGATAATAGAAATATTTTACTGGAACTAAGAAAATCCTCTCTGCGATTCACAAACAGTATAAGATATTATAAACTGGTTTAAAGAACCTGCAATCCAAGAAGAACATCCTAATCAGGCTTTACTGGTCTAGATTTTGCTGTTTTTAAGCTTTTATAATAATATAAAAATGGTTCCTGATACAAAAAAAGCTTCAACATATTTAGTTTATGTTTTTGCACATAATATAAAGGTTTTGTTGATCTTAATGTTTTTAAACTATGTTCATTGTAAAAATCTTGAATCTCAGGCTTAATCAGTTTGAGGGAGAGCTCATCAAATAGGAAAAAAAAGGTACTTCAAAGTTTTTCATAATTAAAAAAACTATTAAATACCTCTTTACTTTTAACGTCTACAAAGGACTGCAAAGAAAATGCCTACATTAACATGGTTAGCCAGTGGTAGTCTGGAAACCTTGAGCAGAGTTTCAGCTGGGTTCCTACTTAAAGATAAGCCTAAACCAATTATGGTCTGTTCAATTTGTCTTGGATGCCAAAGCTGGGAATAATGTCACCTACCAAACTGAACACGTTGTAGTTGCAAAAGTAGTGGGGAATTGTTAATTATTATAAAAGGAGGTTGCAAAGAGCCATGTTTGCTACTGGTTTAATGAAAGACAAACTGTTAGAATTGCTGATAAACCACATCCATGCAACGTTCACTATATTTTGCATGTGCATCAACTGTATTGAATACATAATATTATGGATGTTGTGCAACTTCTGACTCTTCTAGAGGTAGTCTTGATATCAGTGAGTATTCCTATTGTATCTCAAACTGGGGGGGGGTCAAAATATTTTTCAGAGGTAACCATGTGAAAAAAAGTTAAGCACAGGTTTGTTTACTTACTAGTCTAAAGCTGAATGCTTATGGAACTTTCGCTATGCAACGATTGTGGAAGTAAAAGTAGAAAATACATCATTCATATTTTGCATTTTGTAGCCTTTAAAATATATATGGCCCTACTGTTTTAACAGTTTTGATTTTACTCCATAGATTGATTCACTTTTCTGGATGTAGTCATTGTTTTTAGGGGAAGCGATTTCGCAAACATTGCCTGCAGCCTCTTGATATCTGACTTTCTGTCAGGGCATATACTGTAGGTGTGGCTCCATGTTTGCAAGAAGAAACACAGGCACCAGAGAGTTTCACGTGACTATATTTATGAAAGAAATAGACAAACAACAAAAAGACACCTCCATGAAACTTTGTAAAACCGAAAATAAATGCCCCATACAGTTTCATGATAGTTTTATCTTCTGAAGCAAAAATGAAGACTTGCGTTGTTTCACATCTTTTTAGTAACACATTTTCAGTCAGTGATAATGGTAATAATTGTGTTTTCTTTATAATAGCCATACATGTGAAATATACATTTACGTTTACAGTTTAAATTTTGGGTTTGCGATTTCCAAAAGATGGCTTTTTTAAAATGAGATGTTTTTCTTGTCTTTATGATCCTATCATAGACACTGTGTCTATCTGTGTGGAAGATACTGGATAATCTTTACAAAGTCCAATCTGATAAATGTCTGTATTTTATGGCAGTGAGAGTGCTTCGGTTGGAAGTGGTTATTTGAGGCAAATGCTTGAGAAACAAGATAAGGAGGAAACACTTATAAAGCATCTATGTGCTAACAAGAGGTAGACTTGATTTAGAAACTTTAAAAAGCTTATATTCATTATTAAGGGTGTTTGGAAAGTCTTATGCATATCTTTTTTTCTAATAAAATGCAACAATTACTTTTATGTGAAAACAAAACAAAATTTATTCCTTACAGCTTGTGGGAAATTAGAATGTAAAAAAAAATCAAACATTGATGATGTGATAGGAACAGGAAATATTTTTTTTTTTCACAATTTCTCTCTCTGCTCCAAGCTACCAATCAAACATGATATAATCAATATGCACTGCAAGAGCTTTTCCACTAAATATCTCTGTGTTTCTTTAATAAATAAAAGTCACAAAGGTTTGAAGCATTCAGAACTTTCAGTTTTGTAGCTTGATAACGTTAGTAATTGAACTTTGCCCCACCACATGCTATGTGCAACGTGCCAAAGCAATTAAGACATTTCCCATTGTCTGATGTCACCAAACTAATTCTAGTGACATGCAACTGATCACCATCTGTGGATTTTTTTAGGTACACCTTATGGTGCTAGTTTAAACCCTATTTTATCACCTTAACCGCTTAACCCTATCCGCCTTTTTTATGTACTGCCTTTTATTTCTAAGTTCTCCAAAACAATACCCATCTGATCCAGTATAGGTATTGGGCTCAGATACCAATGTATTTTACAGATAAGAAAATTCCAATTCAACCCGCAAGCATTTCCAATCCAATGGCTGCCTCTGTGCTGTAATGTTTTGTGCTTGAAAGTCTCCAGTCTGCCTTTTTGGCTGTTCTGCTAGCTGGTTGCTAATATCCAGAAGAGAGCCCTTTTTCCGCCACTCATGAAGAAATCTGTTTCCTGTCAGGAAATCCAGGTTACTGTGAATGTTTACACTTAACATTGACAGTTGCTTTCAGTGGGACTTCCGCCTATCCGTGACCCGGTTTGAGCCACTGCTGTCCTGGGTTGGAGAACAAATCACCTGGACAACAGAGGTAAGGTGAGACGCCATTATGGAGCTTAGACAGGTGAAGCGGGAAATCAGTTTGAGAGCTCTAGATCAGATAGACCATGGCCAAAGCAAGGGAGATGCAGCAGTTTGCCGGATCTAGCTCAGGAGGAGAGCGGAGGACCAAAGCAGTAGATCAGAGAGACCTGCTGGGGCAACAGAGCA